ACACAAGCTCCCTATCTTGGGCTGCTTGCAGACACAGGGTATTGTTAGCTACAGATATTGGGACAAACATTGTATATGCGACTTTGCTGGCACATGGTATTTTTCATTCTGTGACAAGTGTCTTTTCTGAACAACGAAGCAGAATTACAAAACATGGGCCTTTACATATTGATGAATTTAAAAAACCTGTACTGTATTAGAACTAACAGACATAATCTTCTTAATTCGGCCAAGTGCTTCTATGTTAAAGTCTCTTTAAACTATATACTTGTGATATTTATTCAATAGTTTCTTTTGGTTTTATGTACAGCCTCAAAAGCTTATCTTAAAATTCAGACAATAAAAATTTTTCTGCAAAATACTAATGGGAATAATTTCTCATAAGATTTTCAATCATCTGCCAAAAATTTGAGACAGTGCTGCACCTCCTGAGAAAAGACAGACAAAACAGCAAAGGGTGCATGTCCTCAATAAGCACATCAGTAGTATTATTTTCTTTTTAAAAATTTTATTATTATTATTATTATTGTGTGTGTACCATCAAATCAGATCTGACTGGTACAAGATAAAACTGTCCCTCCTTCTCCAGCAGAGCATCTGGTGGATTCGAACCACATGCCTCTGGGATTGCAGTGCAGCTTCTTGCCACTAGGTCTTCAGAGCTACCCAGTAGTACTATTTTCATAGCACAGAAAGATGTGCAAGGAGTAGATTTATAAAGTAACAAAGTACTCAAAACCTCAACTCATTGCCATCAAATCAAAACTGACTCTTCAGCTGGTTTTCTGAGGCTGTAAATGGCATTGAAGAAAGAAGATGGCCCATCTTTCTCTTGTGAGATTTGAACTACCTGGCTTTGGGTTGGCAGCACAACTCCTTATCAAGTAGGATAGGCCACCAGAGGGCCCTACCAATAAATATAGCACATTTGGGGTTTTTAGGATGCAGTTGCCAACTGAGGAAAAAGGAAATCACTTGTATAGTCTTCAAGTGAAAATTTGGGAAAACGAAAGAAAATCTAGGTTACTCCTTGGGCATGTTAGTTCTGTGACTGATTGAAGTACATGGTCTGAATCCTTTCGAAAAGTTTTAAGATACAGGGCAACATCTGCGTTTGCCTCCTGCTTCCTCTCAGAGCTGGTTTTACAGGTTCATTTTGTCCAAAGAAGTGGGAGGGCAGTTATCATTGCTCTGGGAGCTCATGCTTATTTTAAATTGTGGTTCCTTTATAACCTTCTCAGGGTTTGGCGGATTCCTCAGCACATAGAGTGGCACTGTCACAGAAGCCTAAGGATATAAGGAAAGCCATGGGCACACCATAAAGGAAATGAGGGAGAAGCGGGCAGGCTAATTTTCTATCCCATAAAGGCAAGGGAAAACAGAAGGCGAAGCCATCCTGTGGGAATCAGGTGAATCAAAACGGAAGAATTGGTTCAAGGAGAGAAACTGAAGTTATAAACAATGAACTTGATTCCTCAGCCTCCTATGGTTTTAAAAGTATTGTCCTTATTAATTAATACTGCTAAGTAACTTATCACCATCAAGACGGCTTTGGGATATTTGCAGCTAAATACTGTTGTGTTTGTAGAGATACAACACATATTAAAATCACAGGGAAGGGGATTGAAAAAAGGCCACCAAACCAATTATAATGTTGCATATTGCATTTGCAGGATACAAAACCAAAATGACTATATATATGTATCCATTCTCCTCTTTCATGAACTTCCTGTTTCTTCACTGAAAGCCCTTAGAAGTGACATATTTCTCCTAAGAGAGGCGCCATGCCAGTTCTAAGGCGTCTAAGGGTGCAGGCATGACGCACGGCAGGCATGCGGAGAGGTGGGTGCTGACTCTCGGAGATACACCTTATTAGCCTTCCTAGGTGCTAATAAATCTCCACTACGCAGGGCAGCGCGCCGAGGGTGCCTGGCTCCTTACCTTTGATATGGGGGATGAAGTGGTGTCGGAAGGGGGAGTTGGGGCGGGAGTCGTTGTGGGTGGAGCTGAGGCTGCTGGTGCGCAGGTAGCTCAAGCGCTGCACACCAGGAGACCGCAGCTCTGCGCAGGGAGGCGGGCGGGGCAGGAGACAGAACAGAAGAACAGAAATTAACACGGAAATTAGCAAGGCCTGTTAATCAGGAGTCTGAAAGGAGGAAGGAAAAGGGTTAAGGAGGCGGGTTAGGCAGAGGAGGGGGGTATTTCCAAACAGCTCAGCACACAGTTTCACTCTTGGAGAACCAAAGGCTTCAGTCAGGAGGAGCGATTTCCAGAATAGTCTATGTCAGAATAAAGTCAGTCACTGGGAAGCCAGGACTGGGGCCAGCATTTAGACACTTGGGGCTATTTTTTTAAGGAACACCTGAAAAAATAGAGCCCTCTGAAACACGTGTTAAAAAAACACCAACCAAACACCACCATACTAAAACATGACAATCACTTATACAAATTTGAAAAGGAGTTCTCTATGTAAAGTCAAAGTCACTGTGATCAGTGGAAGTGACTCATAACTGACCCTCCAGTGAGTTCTCATGGCTGTAAGTCACAGCAGAGGAAATTGCCCATCAGCTGGTGGAATGAACCACCAGAGAGGCTGGCCCTTTGCCAAGCAATGCAGCAGCCTAAGGCATAAACTCCCTCAGATGTGGATCAACCCACAAGGGCTGATTCTTTTTTAAGCTGCCTTCTCCCACTGGAAGTTTAGGGATTTTGTTGTTGGTTTGTTGTGGGTGCCCCCTTTCCCCCAGGACGATCTGTTCCTGTCCCTGGGCAGTGAAGAGGCATTTAAAAAAGTAAGCAGTGGGAGCTAGCATTGCAGAGGCCAAACTGTCATTTCAGAAGAATGGGCTGTTCAAACACATACAGAAGGCTTGACTCATCATTTGAGATCTAGAACTTGGGGAGTGCATACTTTGGGGTGTTTCAAAAAAACCTAATTTATTTTGTCAGGACCCCACGTTAGAAGGATAAATTTAAAATGCAGATAAATGGCTATAACTCCTCTCACCAAACTTGACTCCCAGCTGTGGAGTTGATGGCAACTCAGGGCAACCCCAGAGGACAGAGCGGGGTTTCCAAGGCTGAGATTCTTTGCAGAAGCTGAGTGCCACATCCTTCACCCAGAGAGCAGATGGTGGGTTTGAACTGTTGCCCTTTTGCTTGTGGCCAAGTGTCACTGTACCACCACCAGGCTTGTACTTTTTTCTGCATATGTGTGATGCTAATTGATGGGGTGAATTAACATATACCCAGCTGAACATATTAAAAACTCATATGCTTTGCTGGTGAGGCAACTCCTATTTATAGGCAATCCCCCTAACCCCAAGTTTCTAAGATTCAGTCTTGTTGCTGTTGTGCTGTTGAGTCAGAACCAACACATAGCTGACCCTCCGATGGGTCTTAAGAGACAGTAAAATGCATGGGAAGAGACTCCATTTTTCTCCCGCAAAGCAGCTGGTGCATTCAAACTGTGTACCTTTGTAATTGCACCACAGTTTCTTACCATGAGGCCACTGTAAATCTTTGCAGGACAAGATGATTCATCTTTTCTCTTTGGAACAGCTGGTGGATTCCAACTGCTGATCTCCCAGTTACACGAAGCACATGAAGCCACCCCTGACCCTTCCTATACATGTACACTCCACCAATCAGCATGACACAGAATCAGGAACATTCCAAAAGCTGTTATGATTGGCTCAGCAGCAGACTTCCCAGTGCTCATTAAGTACATGGCCTCTGGGGGAAAGCCACCCGACTGGCCACCAGCCTACTCCTGCGGATGCCTGAAACAACCTCTGTGTTCCCCATGCCACCCCAATATGACATGGCTGGGGTCACAATGACCTCAGCATACACGCAGATGTGGCAGCACAAAGAATCCTACATCCTCAAATGGACAAAGGCTTGTGCCCGGATCCACTCCAGGGCAGTGACGGAGTAAGAAGGAAATTTCTCCCAAATTCCACTGAACTCATTAAATACTGAGAGCCTAGAGAAAACGATATAGTATTGGAAGACCAAGTAACAAAACTCCAATTAACAATTGAGAGAAAACTGTGGCCTTTTCACATTCTAATGATTTTCACTGGTTTGAATTCTTCCACATAAAACCAGTTAGCACCTGATTGTGCTTGTTCTCATCAGACTGCCTAAGAAGCTTAAAATGAAGTCTGTTGAGGTGTGCATAATCACGGAGGTCTTGAGACGTCCACAGTCCTCCGTATGAATCTGTTTCTCAGGGAATCTATGCTAGACTCTCTGTTCTCCTCTACATATGAAGCCCTCATTAAAAGCAAAAGGAAATTATTTGTGAGGAAATAAAGGTGAACCATGTCCATTAGTATTAGGTATTTTCTATTGTAACATGTATGTTTCTCTCTCTGTCTCTCTCTCTCTCTCTCTCTCTCTCACACACACACACACACACACACACACACACACACACACGGTGTCTTATAAGCCTCATGGAAACTTGGAAATTTTTAGGGTTAGAAGGGATCTTAAACACTCTGTCTGTCTGTCTCTGTCTTACAAACCTGATGGAATCTTTGGGGTAACATAATCAGCCTGTCAACATATGGCTAATAACAGATGTTTATAAGTTACTAATATGCCTTAAAAAGTACTACAAAATATTTTCTCTTGGAGAGCTTCATTTCAAGCATTAGTGATGAGATTCTCCTCCAGCCCCTCTCTCAAACAAACAACATTAAAAAAAAATTATATATATATATATCCTCCCTTCCACAAGTAGTTTGTCAAAGTGTAATTATTTGATAAGTCATAATGAATATCACTATCAAATGATGACTGCCTCAAGAAAAGATATGAGAGAAAATACTGTTGACTATCAGTTTACACGCCCTCCTCCACGTAAGAGGGAAAAATGTTCGGCAGCCAGATTTTCTAAAACAGTATCAATGGTGGGGAGGTAGAAAGAGGGAATCACACAGAAATACAGTTTATGAAATGGGGTGAACTGTGGAAACGGGTGCCCTTACCAGGCCTGTGAAAATGCTGGGGGGAGCGTGACGTGGTCGGAGTGTAACTGTGGCGGCTGTACACCGGGGAGTTGATGGAGCCCTGGCTGGTGGACCGGTGGATCATCCGGTCCCGAGCATCCTGGTAGCCCTGGGAACAAAGTTCAGGAAAGAATGAGCACAAACGAACCTGCAGGCTCATGTCTGTGTCGAGGGAGGCAGAAGCTGCCCAGAGCCCAGAGCGCCTGCCTGCAGCTCAGAAACACTCTGAGGACCATATCCTTTACTGTGAGGATAACATCATAAACTGTCCGCAGCACCTCCGTCTTATGTTTTGTCTTTGTAAGACAGACAACACTTACAGCAATTAAAATTTTAAGACACAAAAAGAATTCGTTCACTCCACTGTCCACAGAGCTGTGGGGAAAGGGGCAATGGTGACTTTTATTTGTGCTTTTCAGTTTTACAGAGCAAGTTTGCGTCCACCCCTACATCAGATCTGTGTAGGAATAAGGCACGTGATCTGTGACCACCCTTCCCCACTAATGTTGGCCCAGGTCCTAAAGAGGTGAGAGACCTGAGGGGAGCACCCAGTGGACAGAAGGCGATGCTACCAACCCAAAGGTGGGTGATTTTAATCTGCAGCCCTCAGGCCTGGTTTTAATTGTTTTTGGTCAAACATTCTTCTGTGTGGTATAGCACTGGTGTGTCCATTTGCTGTACAAAGGTAACTCGTGGTTGCTGTGATGCTGAACACTGTGACATTGATGTGTCAAGTGTGATAATGGTTACCCATGGTGGACAGTGTTTGGTGGAGCTCTCCAATTAAAACAACTTTGGAAGCAGGAGTGGCATCCACTTCTGAAAAAGCTTGCCTCCAGAAACCCTATGAACTTGGAAAAATGATGTAAGTTATACAAGTCTTCGGGTCTTTCATTCATAGGGTCGCTATGAGTCATCTATCAACAATGTCCAAACTCAGAAAAGATTATAGTAGAGACTATATATACATACATGCATGCAAATGATATTGTTTAAAAAACCTGAAAGAGCATGAAGAAGAAAACGTTACATTTTAGGAATTTGTTTTCTTGATATTTCTGCTAATGCAATGCAAATAAAAACTCAAAGACCATATGTTGCTGTTGTTGTTGTTATGTGCCATCGAGTTGTTTGCGACTCATAGCAACCCTATGTACAAGAGCCCTAAACGCCATTCTATTCTGTGCCAACCTTGCTGTCCCAAACACATAACCGTATTATGGAACATATACAAGTGTGTTCAAAGGATGAGAGGAGAGGCCTGCACGGGCACAAGGGGCTTCACTCCTACTAAGAGGTACAGGTGGAGCTCTGGTGGTGCAGTAAGTTGTTAAGTGCTGGGATGCTAATAGAAAGGTTGGCGGGTTGAAACCAGAGGCTGCTTTTATGGAGAAAGACATGGCAGCCTGTTCCTGTTAAAATTTAAAGCCTTGGAAATGTGCTGGTGCAGTTTTACTCTGTCTCACAGGGTCGCTATGAGTCACTGTCAAATTGATGGCTCTGAGCTTAGTTTTGAGAGCTACAGATTGAGGTCAGTGGAAGGCTATTTTTATCCCCTAGATTCAAAATAATGGTAATAAATCTACAGCCATATCTTATATCATTACATCTTACAGGTCATCATAGCCTTCCGAACATTTTATTATTATTATTGTGTATCTTTTTATGCCATTCTTAAAAATGAAAATTTACAGTCTAGGAAAGTTCCAGGAAACTCCCAAACTGCCCCCATCATAATTTCCAAAAATGGGTACTTACTTCTGCTGAAGGGGTGGGAGACAAAGTCCTTGGAGACTAGAAGAAGAAAAGAGAATTTAGAGTCACTACTTCTATTCGTTCTTTAATAGCTTTAAGTAGAAGAGCTTGTTAGAACCACCTGAAGATATTTTTCAAAATATCCAAGTCAGCGTGCACATGCACTCCACCTGCAGGCTGCTTATTTACCTGCTGAGAGTCGGGAATCCACACAGGATTTGGGGGAGTTATTGCTGACTATGAATCAAAGAAATATTAACAGTGAATGTCAATACCAGCACGCATGTAACTGGAAAGGTTCCCAAGTTGTAAGATCCACTGTGTTGGGGAACAGTTCACTAATATATATGATTTCTGAGCCAGGATACACCCTCCAGTGAGACACCAAAAATGGCCCCATGATTGAAATGAGACCGTTGTGATGGGCACATGGCATCTTGCCCTGGTCACCTGACCAGCCGTACTGCCACTTACCTGCCAGCTCTGTTCTTCCACTCAGAGGCTTCCTGGGACCCACCATCAGGCCAAGGCCTCTGTGACCTTAGGACCTTTGCACATGCTGTTCCAGCTGCCTGCCTTGCCTTCAGGTCTGACCCCTGCAGGACTCCAATTATCATTACACTTCTCTGTGCTTCTGACCCCGGATTTAATGAAGAAACCCGGCCTCTCTCACATATTCTCTTTATTCTCCTTTATCCCTCCTTAAAGCACTCAACACCACCTAATATGACATTGCCCAGGTGGGCAGGGGCTTCACGCGTCCACAACTCTGTACCCTAGTGACCGCCAGGTCCTGGCATACATTAGGTGCTCAACAATTGCTTTCTGAAAGAGTGAATGAAAAGCTGTAATTGAAATGCAGACAGCTAGTTGACGGGAACGGAATGCAAATAAAACCTTCGGGAGACACCAACGCTGGATCTCAGGTCTAGGGCTTGCCCCTCTGCCCACGCTGCCAGTGAGCTGCCAGTCTCTCCTGTCTATGACTGACAGACACAGACACTGTCGAGTCTGCAGCTCCTCCTGGCTCTGCGGCGTCTCAGCTGTGTGTGGATGGGATCACTGACGGGAAACTGCTAGAGAGACCTTCAAGTTTCCCCTCTTATGTTTCTGAAATGACAATCTTAAGGATCCTGTCAAAGAAGACTGTCCTGTCTGTGTCAGTTTGCCATACTGCAGTGGCCTGCATGCTGTTGTGATTCTAGAAGCTATGAAGCCAATATTTTGAATATCAGCAGGGCCACCCACAGTGGGCAGGTTTCAGCAGACCTTCCAGACCAAGAGAGAGCGGGAAGAAAGGCCTGGCAATCTCCTGCTCAGGATCAGGCAGTGGAAACTTTACGGGTCACAACTGCACATCAGGTGACTCGCTTGATTCAGACTCCTCAATACGAGGCAGGGAAGGACATTACGCCTGGTGAAGGAGGGGGTCCGCCAGGACAAGGGGGACACTCAGAGACAGACTGTGAACCAGCTGTGAGGTGGACTCGAACACGCCAGTGACTGTGAGGACAACACAGGAGTGGGCAGTGTGTGCACTGCACAAAAAGTCATCACGAGTCGGAGTCAACAGGCTCGCTCCCGATCGACTGGTCAAAGAGTCGAACAGTAATAACTAACGTAAAGATCAGTGAAGAGCTTGTCAAGTTTTCTAAGGTGTGAAACTCGCATTTGGGGGAATGTTGCTGCTGTTATGTTCCATCGAGTCGCTTGTGACTCATAGCGACCCAACGTACACAACAGCCCTAAACCCTGTTCTGTCCTGTGCCAATCTCACTGTCTCCAACACACCTACTCCCACTACCCCAGTCACTGAATCACTCCACCTCATAGAGGGTCTTCCCCTCTTGCACTGTCCCTCCCTCCACCCTCCCAAGCATGACGTCTCTCTCCAAGGACTCGTCCCTCCTTACAACATGGCCAAAGTACGTCAAACGAAGCCTCAGAATCCTTGCCTCCAAGGAGAAGCCCGCTTTAACCCTCTCCTGGATTAATCTGGATGAATTTGGGGAATAGCTCACTAATATTTCTGATTTCTGATCAAAGGGGACACCTCCTAAAAAGATCCAGCCCACAGACCAAGTAGGCTCACCATTTCCTGGTCACGATGGTTAGGACATTTCAGCTGTCATGATGGTTAGGACAATGGCCAGCACTTAGGTTGAGCACTTACTGTGTGCCGGGAACATACTTTAATCTGAAGATCTCACTTAATTCTTACTGAAAATCTATGAAAATCTTGAGTTCACAATTAAGGAGACTGAAATGTATCATTTCCCCTGAGTTGTCTGGTGAGGACAGGTTAAAGTCTGGTTTCCAACCCAGAAATGTTCACTTCAAAGTCTGAGGTCTTGAAGAATGAGTTTTTGCTGTATAACACAGAACTTCTGGGAAACTCATACACAGACATCTCATTAAATCGACCATAGAACAACTTGCCTCCCCTGCTTGTATGACCTGAGCATTAGAATATTCTCAGCCACTTGCTTCATGGCCAGCACCACCGCACATTGGTTCAGGGAACTTCCCTTGTCCTGCGACCACTGTGAAACCTGTGAAAATGGTGCTCAATGTCAGGTGATCAGTCTGTACTTAAGAACAGCCACAGATGCAGTTAGGGAGTTCTGGTGGCAGAGGGGGCAGGGAGTTGCACTGCCAATCCAAAGGCAAGCAGTTTGAATCCACCAACTTCCCAGAGTGAGAAAGATGGGAAATCTCCTCCTGTGCCAGTTAAAGCCTCTGAAAACTCACTGGAGGCTCAGTTATGAGTGGGTTCTCATTCTACAGACAAAGCATAAATTAGTTTAGGGTTTTTAATAGATGCAGCTATGGCCATGTGACCATTAGGTGGCGCTACATGAAAATGAATAGCACTTTCCCACATGAAACTAGATACTCCAATTAAGACCTTCACTGGAATGAAAACTAGGCTAAAAAACAAAACAAAACAGCCAAAACTATATCTATAAATTTGGAAAGAATTAATTGGAGTCATCTAAATCCTTCCTTTTTTACCTCACTGAAGACCTCAAGGCCCAGCCTTCATGTTATTTATGTTACGTTATTATTCATGTTATTTATGGACTATTTCAACCTTGATTGAACAGCTGATTTCAAGACAGGAATTGGCGGGGACACATCTCAGATAGTTTCAAATCAGTTATAGATGATTAAAATGGTAAAAATAAAAATGAAGAGATTAGGACAGGTTGAAGAATCCGAGGGAGGCAGACCATGGCTCACTAGGTCGGGGTGGGAGGATGGAGCAGGGAACTCCCACCTGGGACCAGGAGTGAGGACATGGGACCGAGGTAGTTGTGGCCCAGACCCCGGATGGAGCTGATGGCGGAGCCAAGGCTCCAAGAGGGCAGGTTAAGACCACATCTGTGTCTGTCATTTGTTCACCGTTTGCTAAATGTCTGTCCTCATCGCTTTGCACAGTTTAGTTTATAATCCCCTCAAACATCCTAAGTGCTTGTTGCTGCTGTTAGGTGCCACTGAGTCAACTTCAACTCGCAGGGGCCCTGTGAACAATAGACCTGAACTTGGCCCTTGCACCGTCCTCTGCATCTCCGATACACTCTAGACCATTGTCACAGTGCCCCCGTCAATCTACCTTGTCTGGCAAAGTGAAACAGAAAGAAAAATTAACGTCCTGCTTCATCTCTTTGGGGAACTTCTGCTTATCAATTACATGTCTTGTTAACACAGTAACTATTTTTACAGAGTAAAAGAAACACAATTTAAAATTCTTTTCTCAGTACAATCAAGCTCTTTAGAAAGTTGTTTATTTCATTGACTGTATTTCCAAAAGCTTAGAAAAAGATCTACATAGAACTCTCCGAGAACGCCACAAACCCTAGAGATAATAAATATCTTACATTTATAACATAGAAGGAAAAGCTTAAACAGATGGTGGAAAAAACCTTTTCTTTCCACCTTTCATAGTATGAGGTCCTTTTCCAAGGACTTGCCCCTTTCGACAACTTGCCCAAAGCAGGTGGGATGAAGTTTCACCATCCCTGCCTCAAAAGAGGACCCTGGTTCTCTTCGTCCAAGACAAGACGTGCCATTTCGGTAATTCATAGGGTATTCAGTACTCTTCTCCAACACCACAATCCAAAGGGAGCAGTCTATCATTATTGTACCCACTTTGCAGATGAGGAAACCAAGATCAAAACAGTTGCCACAAGGCCAGAGTCACACAACCGGCATGTGGTGACCTCCGATTGAATCCAGCTAATTCGGTTCCAGAACCCTGGCTCTTACCACTGTGCTATACTGTTATTTCTTTCTCTGTTTTTTCCCCCCTTGTGCTTTCTTATTCCATGAATAATTTATTTCATTGCAATTCACTTTACTATGCTAAGAAACTGTGCTGCAATCCCAAAGGCATGCAGTTCGAATCCACCAGCTGCTCCGTGGGTGAAAGACGGACAGTTTCCTCCTGCGTGACTTACTGTCTCTGAAAACCGGCTGGAGGGTCAGCTATGGGTCAGTTCTGACTCGATGGTATACTACAACAACAACAACAACAACAACATGCTTCATTGGTATCCAGTACTTTTTGTGTTTTGTTGTTGGTTTTTTGGTGTTTTTTTTTTAACATTGAAAGTCTGATAATCTTGCATTGAGCAAGTCTATTTGTACCCTTCTTCCAACTGCACTACTTGCTCACTTCACGTCACCATGTGGCACCCTGGTAATTCCACAATATTGTACACTCTCTCCATAATGCTACTGTACACTTAAACTATGGCAGAATGTCAACACACATTTATATGCACAGGAAACCAAAAAGTTTGTGTGATATGCTTTCTTCCAGCGATCTGCAACTTAATTTGCAACACTTCTGAGTTATGCTTGTATTTGGGATCTTGAAAATGGAAATGGACACAATTTGGGAAGCTCACTCTCTCTTTTCATCATCACCATAAACCTCACTTCCGGCTCTCCTGTGACCTCCATCAAGTCCCCGCTCCTGTATTCCTTCAGGGTCTCCCTATAGTGTCAACATCCGTATTGGCTCCATTGCCCTAATACCTGGGAGTGCTGCATCTTCATCCTTCACCGCTGTGTATATGTGGTAATCTTGGAATGCTGCAAATGCTGCACATGCTTAGCTATTAACCCAAACACAGGCAGTTTGAGTGTTATCCAGAGGGGCCTTGGGAAAAATGCTGATGCTTTACTTCAGAAAAACCGACCACTGAAAACCCAACGGAGCGCATAGCTCTGCTCTAACACGTGCTCATTAGGGGTCTAAATCCACGCAAGGCACGTGACTCTAAATGCGGTATGTCCACATTCCCACCTCTCTGCACCCTCTCTAAGGACAGGAGTCCCTGAGAGGCAGTCCCTGAGAGGCTTCTGTATACCTCAGAGCACCTCGCCTGCAGCCTGCAAACAACAGGCAATTCAAAGGACACCGTGATTTATTTTTACACCAAATGGTAGGTTAGATACATGAATGAAAGTGAAGAGACGCTGTTGTACACCACGCCACCTCGAGGAGTTTCTTACCTCCCCAAGGCTCTGTCTCTCCTGCTTGTCATCGTAGCCCGAAGTGTAGAAAGGTTCATAGGTAATGAGATCTGGCCGCTCAATGTCATAAATGGCCTTGACCTTGGGAATGGCTGCTAAATCCTTGTAATCCAGAATTTCATTGTCTACTTTTGCCTGGCAAAGTGAAACAGAAAGAAAAATTAACGTCCCGTTTCATCTCTTTGGGGAACTTCTGCTAGTGAATGACATGTCTTGCTAACACAGTAAATATTTTTACACAGTTAAAGAAACACAATTTAAAATTCTTTGCTCATCACAGTAACGCTCTTTAGAAAGTTGTTCATTTCACTGATCACATTTCCAAAAACGTTTCCAAGTAGAGAAGGCCACAAACTCTAAAGATAATATCTTAAATATATTACATAGAAGGAAAAGGTTAAACAGATGGTGGAAAAAAACCCATCTTTTCATATGGCTACAAACAAGGATTGCATATTTAATCAAGTAAATATTTCAATACCTTTGTAACAGAATTTAAGAACACTTAGAATCAGCATTATAAAATATGTAATTATCTCCAAGTATGTCAAGTTATCGGAAAGCATTTTCAAGCCTGCCATCATACTTTCTATCCTTGTAATCTACAGGTCACCTACTCAATTATCCCAAGACGCTGAAATATGAACTTAATTTACGTGAAGTCAAGCATGACTGAAAAGGTCGATCTATAAAAACAAGCATCAGCTCTCAGAGCAGAAACAGAAGTCACTTTGCATTAGGTTTTATTTATTGGAGATCACCGGCCCAGCGTGTAGAATCCATGAACTCACTTGTCCTGAAGTAGATACTTACATAGATAGTATGACCTGGTGAGCCAGGGATACTGGAGCCGGGTCGAGAATAAATACTCTCCGACGAGGTCCTGGTCGGCTGCAAAGCAAAGCATAACTTGTGAGGTTTCAGACCGCGTCTCCAGAATCAAGACTGAGCTGGGTGACTAAACGTTACTAAAAGCTGAGCCAATTAGAAAGGACCTTTGTGAATAAGGAGCAATGTAGCCTAGAAGACAGATTTCATGGAAGCGAGTGCAATTCAGCTTTGAAAAGCATCCTGGGCTTTTCCTGAGATTTCTTCCCTTCAGCCTTTACAAGATCTCTGACTCTACATACAAGATACAGTCAAGTCGTCCATGTCCCCCCATTGCCATAATTCTAGTCCCAGCCACCCTTCACTCACTGGACTAACATAATGTCGTTCTATACAGTTTTAATTGCTTTCACTCTTGGTTCCTCAAATCCATTGGTACCTGGTATTCAGGCTCCCAGCTAAGTGCTTGACTTCCACCTGAGAGGCTGGCAGTTTGAAGCTCATGACTGTCTTCCTGCCCTCCTGTCCTGCTCCACTCCTCACCACCCATCCTCACTCACAGCACATGGTACTCTGCCCTGTCTTAGGGGCCTGGGGTCTTGGCTTTCTGCTCCTCTGCGTGGAAGGCTCTGATTTTAAAATTAACCTGGATATATTTTCCACCTCCTTCATCTCTGGCTTATCAGACAAAACTCCCTTCACCTTTAATCCAGACTAAATACTCCTTGGTCTTTCTCTCATGATGCCCTGCTTATGTTTCCTTTCAGGTATAAATTGATAATTATTTACCAGTCTCTATATCAGGCCTCTCTCTCTCATTGACTGTAGTTACAATTTCTGCTCTGAGTTATTTTCATGTCTGTATTTCTGAATGCTTTGTATATCTGATGCTTTGTACAGACACACAGAAGAAAAGCAATACCCTTTGAGAGAATGAGATGGAATTTATTATTTGTAAACAAATAGTCTGTGGACAGGTGACACATGCTAAGCACCTGAATCTGAGCTTTCCCAGGCAGAGAGAAAGTGGGAAAGGTTACTGCCAGGGAAGGAGGCAGAAGCCAGGTGAATATACTTGGAGAGTTCGAGAATGGATGATGGTTAAATGAGTGGGAGAGGAAATGTGTGAAAAACTAGGATCTGTTGCCTTATAGTGTTAGAAAAAGTCATACAAAGAAAACCAAAGATTCAGTTTTTAGAAAATGCCCTCACCTCAGGGCAACTATTTCTCAGGGAGAACAGTTTATAGCTCTAGATCAGATAGAGAAGTTTTCCTTTTTAGCCTTGTTTCTGTTGATACTTTCCACCTTGACTGTGAGTGTGACTGGACCAAGAGACTACTGATCAACACGGATGTTGCTTAACTATGTAGTTCATGTCCCGAAACAAACCAGTACAACTTGAGGCAGCAGTAACTGATCTTCCTTTAGATGAAGAGATGCCCTGACCATCAGCTACGCTCAGCCTATGCCTCTGGTGTCCCCCAGAGCTACCAGGACAGGTGGGCACTGGAGAAATTCCTCTGGGTACAAGTGGAGGTGAGACGAGCTCACCACTGCAGGGCCTCCTCTCCAAGATTCACTGCATACATGCAGTTTCCATGTGGAATGATATTCATCTATTCACAATCATGTCTCAAGATGGATTGAGCCAGTTACTGGGCCAGTGGGGGGAGGTGTGTTGGAGGCTGTGAGACTGGCTCAGGATAGGGCTGGCTTCAGAGCTGTTGTTCTTAGTATCACTATGAGTTGTGGAACAAACTCAACAGTACATAACTACATCGACAACAAATAATGCTGAAAAAAGAAAGAGTTCACACAGACACTCCTCAAAAGATGCCCACATTGGAGATCCAGTTTTTTTATCAAAATACAGAAGGGGCAAAATCAAAATATATCACTTCTTTTAAAAGATATGTCATCTCGAAGGAGGGGAGGAATGATGTTTACTGCGTTGAAACAGGTGAGGGAGAGAACTGTTTAAAAGGGATATATGATTGGGTATTATTGTCATGACAGGAGTCTAGAGTGAAGGACTTGGGGGGAGGGATTGCATAACAATGAAAGGGTTTTTCTTTTCTTTTTCAAGGAGAACAGTGAATTGGGGGGAGGGGGTGGGCAGGGGAGAAAAGTGGAACAATGAATGACTGGAAACCCTAAGTTTCTATAAACTTCCATTAAAATTAATTTTAAAAAAAGCTAGTGACTCTTTGTGTTTGTGTTTATTAACTATAAGCAGCTAGGTATAGATCGCCGGCAATTTTAATTTTATTTGGCAATCTAATATTTACCAAAATATCACAATGAAACGTCTTCATTGATGGCACAAGTCTCTTACGGTCTGCTGTTGCTCTAGACGCTGTTTGTCAGGTTAGCTCTGACTCAGCGTGGCTCATATACAACAGGATGAAGTGTGGTTGGTCCTGTGCCAGTGTCACCAGAACCCTGGTAATCTGAGCCAATAGTGTCAATCCCTCTCACTGAAGGTCTTCCTGCTTTTTTTTTTTGCTAACCCTTTACTTCACCAGGCATGATGTCCTTTCCCAGGAACTTGTCCCTCCTGGTAACACGGCAGAAGTACCTGAGATGAAGTTCTGACATTCTTCCTCTTAGAGGGCACCTAGTTATATTTCTTCCAAGACAGATTTGTTCCTCCTCCTAGCTGTCCACAGTGTGGTTCATATTCCACGCCAACATTACAATCCAAAAGCATCAATTCTTTGGTCTTGCAACAAAGAATGAATGAATGAATTGAGAACAACAACAACAACAACAACAACTTTGGTCTTTCACATACATAGGAGGCAAACTCCTGGTTGGGTCAGGTGCACTTTAGTCCTCAAAGTGACATCTTCAAAGTTACTCAGTGTAATATGTTGTTTAATTTCTTAATTGCTGCTTCCAAATGTATTGACTGTGGATCCAAGTAAAATAAATCACTGACAACTTGAATGTTTCCTCCCCTTATTACGATGTTGCTTTTTGGTCCAGTTGAAAGGATTTTAGCACCATTAGGTTGAGCTGGAATTTGTACTGAAGGCTGCCTTTGCTCTTTATTAATAAGTGCTTTAAGTCTTCTTTACTTTTAATAGGCAAAGTCGTATAATTTGCATGTTGCGGGTTGTTAATGAGTCCTCTTTTAATCCTGATGCTGCTTTCTTCTTATTAGGTCCAACTTTTCAGAGTATGCGCTTAGTATACAGAGGACATAATAAATGTGGTGAAAAAATACAGCACTGACACATAGCTTTTCTGATTTCGAATCATGCATTATCTTCTGGCTTTGTTCAAATGATAAGTGCTCTGGAGTCCCCGTTCTTTACAATGATATCCATAAGTCGATATTTAAAACAACTAACATTTTTTTAAAAACCCTAACATTTATCATTGTAATAATGTTAGCCTTTTTATTGCAATCACTACATGGCTGTGTGAAGCACTTCTCAGGCATACTCTTATTTTAATCTTCCTAATAACTCTCTGTGTTGTTGTTGTTGTTGTTGTTATGTGCCGTTGAGTCGCTTGCGACTCATAGCGACCCTATGTACAACAGCCCTAAACTCCGCTCTGTCCTGTGCCAATCACACTGTCTCCGACACTGGTAGGTTCTATAATTATGTCCATTTTACAGATTAAAGAACAGTCTGAGTATTCCAAGTCACACAGTAACAGAGGAATCAACAGAGTCACCCATGAGCCCATATTCTCTAGGCCCAGAGTCCAAGTTCTTCAGAGCTGAGCTACATTTCTGACCTTATTATAAGTGAAATGCCACCATTTATTTCCCTCAACGCAGCTGTGGGACAATGAAAGCAATAGAAGATGATTGAGATAAAATGGTAGAAATATCTGCTAACTTACACTATCTTACAGCTACTAGCTCGTTCAGAAGGAGCCTTGATAGCTCAGTGGGTCCAATGGAGGAGGTGGCTGCAATCTGCTCCAGAAATGCTAGCAACTTGGAAAACTCTGTGAGGCAGTTGTAATCTGTCACACGGGGTCACTATGAGCTGCAGCTGAATCAGGGGCTCCTAAAGCAGCAGCAGCTCTGTATGAACCCCGTTATTAGTCACTCTGTTGGGGTGGAGCAGAAGAGGGTGTAACAGCAGAGCCAGCTGTCTTCGTTTACTGGGGTTGCTATGACAGAAGCCTGTTTTTCATCAACAAGCATCTAGGACACGGTGTAAATAGCCAAAGTTCTGGACCTTTGGGGTCTCCCCCATTACTCACCCCCTATTTGCGCCAAGTGTGGGTCAGGGACTTACCAATGAGCCTTGGGATGGGTCTGAAGGGGTTAGCTCTTTCTCCTGAATATGCTGCTCACAACAACTGGTAACAGCACGCGTGCATATAGAGAATGGGCTTTTGTATTCTGACCCAGTGATGTAAAATGCAGAAAACACTGGCCCCAGTAATCCAGTTTGGTTCTGTTTCCTTCTACCTCCCTTCCTCCCTGGATTAAAGGATTCCTGGAGGTACATACGCATGCACGCACGCACACAGGCAATTCTCTGCAGGATTAGCCTTGCCCATTGACACTGTTGACCTTACTGGGCTAAAATGTGTTAGAGTTGCTCAACAATTGGAATAATTTTCACATCGCACTTGGTTCACCGTTTGGATCTTCAGACTATCTCTCATTGCACTTACCATTGATTTTGCTGTATCCTAACCTCCTAACATGACTCTGGCAGCCTCGTGGGTTATGGAGATGTGCTGTCAACCCAAAGGCAAGAGGTTTAAATCCACTAGCAGCTCTGCAGGAAAACGACAGACAAGCTCTTCTTGTGCAATTCATAGCCTCTGAAAACCTGCTGGGGAGGTGGGCGTGGGCCTGCTTTGAGTGGCTTCCAACGCGGTGGCACATAACACCAACCACCTGACTGTAACATTTCCACAAGCCGAGCTAACTCTTGCTTCTATGCTTAATTATAATGACCCTTTTCTGTATTCCAGCTTATACGTGAGTGGCAGGACAAAGCATTACTATATGTTACTGTTACGTGTGGAGTTGGTTTCCACGCACAGCCACTGTGTGCACACCAGAACCACAGAGGCCAGCCT